TATATATTTGACAATCACATTGTAATGAGAGAATTTCCTTCTTGAAAGACTCAGTGTTAAAGAATGGTTTTATCAGAGTTGTTGATGCCCATTCACAATTTGTTCCTGTTGGAAAGTCAAAGCTTAAGGAAAGGGTAGATTCTGAAAAGAATAAAATATGCAGCATAGGGACTACCTGAAGAAAGGTCTGAAGAGGGAGAAGGTAGATATTCTTACCCTGGATCGTTCTTCTAGTTTTGTCATCATGACAACTGTTGCACTCCGTTGCTCCCATATCATTCTCCAAAAGTCCCCAAATGTTTCAGGGAGAGATCCCTGTGTTGCAATATAGGCGTTTTGTTTCCTATAGCCATCTATGTAGTTGGCATTCACATAGTCACTTCCTGGGATGCCTGTAAAACAAGAAGTGTTATTCCATGAGGTGAACCTATCACAAGAGGAAATAGCCTGGGATCTGGCCTGAGGGCAATGTTATATTATTGTTCCACAGTATGCTAGAGGAATCACAATATATTAAATTTTGGGTCTTAAGCAAGATAGTCTCATTGGGACTATCACATTAAAGAAATAGGTGTTCCAGGTGTTGGATCTCTGTAATATGACAAGGTAGATACCAAAGAAAGAAAAATATAACTGATTATCCATAGGGTGCTATTTTTCTCACACCCTGTCTATTTTCTCCACTGCATCAGTAAAATACAGCACACAAAGGAGGATAGAAATTTATCTGGTCACATTCCTTACTCATGCTATTCCAATTGCCAGACAAAAATGAAATAAAATAATGCCTGAATCTGAAAACTCAGTGTAGGATGGAGCATGTGTAATGGTGAACAATTCTTCACAAATTTAGCTAACAGGGAACTCATTTGTAAACTCATTTAATCCTTACAACAACTCTATGAAATATATCCTGTCAGGATCTTCCTTTAACAAAGGAGAAAACTGAGGTGTATCGAGATGAAAGCACTTGCTCTAACTGGTGGAGTCTGGTTTAATGATAGTCTGTCTGCTACGTCTGTCTTAGACTCTGCAGAGATTGCTTCTTGTTTAAACCTCACAGTACTGTTGTACCACATGTTCCTTTCCTTGGATTATGACGATGGCCTCTTATTTGCTTATCCCACTCTACTTTTGTCCTTTGCAGTCTGCTTTTCATCTAGCATGAGAGCAATTTCTAAGAAAATATTTCAGACCCTGTAACTTCTTTCCTTTAAACCCAACAATGGGTTTCCCTTTTACTTCCAATAAAATCCAAACTCTCAACAATACTTACAAAGCTCCACACTTTTCCAAACACATCTCATTCCATTCACCTCTCTGCCTTCTAAACTCTAGACACTGGTCCAGCTTCCATTGGTAGAAAACACTGCTCTCCTACCTGAGTGCCATCCCACACCTTAGAACACACTCTGTGTCTCCATCCCATTGTAAAACGCTCAGCCTATATCTCAGAAAGCCTGCCGTTGATACTCCTAGACCTCAGAATTCCCTTGACTTTATGTTACTTATTACACACTGTAATTATATACTTGCTTGTTAACACAGTTATCACCTGCTTTGACCTCTAGACCAGGTCTCTGTTATTAACCCTTGCTATCTCTAGGGACAAAAAGAAATTTGCCCCAGTTTTGACATCTAGTAAGTAGTAGAGCTTGAACTTGATGCTGATATTCTGATTGAAAGTCTAATTCAGCGTGACACCTTTAAGAGGAAAACAGATAAATTTGAGCTTCTTCCAAGGAGAGTCACCAGAGTGGTTAAGGAAATCAAAGCTGTTCTGTATGAGAAAGGAATACATAGTACAGCTTGGCAGAGGAAAATGTAGGGGTTGGGGATGAGAGCTGCCTGTGAGGATCTGAAGAGAGGTTTAGGTTAACTCTGTTGGGATCCAAGTTTTTCCATTCTGAATGATGTAACTACAGAGAGAAGAATTTCATCTCCAATATAATAAGCATTTTCAAATTGTCAGAATCAAAAAGAGAATAGATTTCCTTGGGATGTAATGAGTTGCCTACCCCTGGAGGGGAACAAGCACTTTACATGGATACTGGCAAGATATGAGAGGTAGCACTAGAACCTGTACATGGCCCCTCCTTGCCCTGGGAAAATATGAGTCCTGAAGCTATGAGGAAAAAAAAAGAGAATATTTTCTTTATAATAGAACATATGTTCCCAAACTAAAATTGTTATATTTCACTGATTGCCACTTGCAATTACTTTGACTGCTTTTCTGATCCCAGTTGTAAAACTGATCCTCTCAAAAAAATAATGAAAGTCAGATGGGAACTAGTGGGCTCCAAGATGAACACATGGATATGGAATACCACCAGCATCAGTGAAAAGCTTTTTGAGTAAAAACTGAAATGCACGGTTGGTTGTAACATTATTCATCTATTACAGCTACTCAAGAAGCAGTTGGGGTTCTGGCAGCTCTTTGTTGATAAAGATTCTATTCCTCCAGACACCAAATTACTGTAGATTCAAAAGAGAGTTTAAATAAAGTCCTCAGGTTACGGCCATTGGGAAGCACATACAATCTCATGTCCACAGGATTTGGTTCTGAGCCAACAATGAACCTATTTTATAATACAGGAAAAGCCCACTTTTGAAATTTTAATTTAACAGTTAACATTAAAGAATTGATAAAAAAAAAAAGGGTTCTGGCTAAAGACATCTATCAGCTACCAATATACAGAAAAGCTTTTCCAAGCAAGTTGAAAATAAAGAAATCTGGATTAATGACTCAGAAAAGGCATCAGCGAGGCATTGTGCCACTTCCCCCTTATCAAGGATAACAACTATATCTGAATAATGTGTGAGAGGACAGAGGAGATGGACAGGAGACTCACATCTAAAGGAAGGGAATCAACCCAGCTCAACATTCTTATGTAAATTTTAATCATTGATTACATAATGAATTGTTTTTGATATACTGCTTAATTTTGAATAATAAATCATGATTATTTTTTAGCGGAGGTAGAGGGGTGGGATGCTACTTAATAATGCTTGCACTTCCCAGGGATAAAAATACAAAACATCTGCCTGAAAAATACTAGGCACTTGGGATCTGCACTGTATCACCAAATGCTTTAAGAATTTAAGAATCTGTATCACCAAATGCTTTAAGAATTTGATATTTTGAAAAGAAAGTTAAAAGGAAAAATTCAATACCTAGTAGAGTTAATTATTAGGCTAATGTTTACATCTTGAAAATAATGCTGAGGCTCCTTTTCTATTTTGACACTCATCTGTAAGGAGGTAGTGCCTGGAATGAACACCTCCTTCCAGGAAATCCCTTTATATACTCTGGCCAAGAGGCATTCCAAGTAAGTCTTCTCCCATACAACCTTTACAGGATGGGGATGTGAGAGATGACTATGTTCTACAGAAGCTCTAAGATCTAATGTATCTGTATTTCATACAACCCAAACAACAAGCTGTGTAGAAAGATGAATGAGAAAAGATTTTAGGAAGGGTGGTGTTTTGCCCTTTTAAAAACATTAGCCCCAGACTGGAAACTAAAATTGAACAGAAGTGTGTTTCAAGTAGATGAGATCTCAGTTTTCTGTGTGACATATTTAGAAAGAGTTGTCAACCAATCTTGTGAGAAAAACAACATGGTGGATTTCCAAGTGTTTTGGTGCCATGAAAGGTTTCTTCCGTAGCTTGTGACTGCAATGTTTCTGCTGGGAGGCTGAATCTACAAAATCCTTTCACTTTTTTGGGGGTGACCTTCTTCAAGTAATGCATATTTGTTTATTTAATTTTCAATCCCCTGCCTTATCCAGAAGATGATTTGCATCTGCTAATGCAACACTAATCAGAGTGTGCTACTAATCCAAGAGAAGTGTGTGAGAATTAATTGAATTCCTCTGGGGCTATGATGGATGGAAATCTAACTTAACACGCAGTACTGAAAGAATATAGAATTACTATAAATTAGCTGATGCTTTTAATTTTTGGAGTCAAGGAGACCTTTGTCCAATACTATGATGATAATGGTGCTTGTTGCTTCTTTTTTTGTGGGTGTTGCTTATTAAAACAATGAAAGCATAAGAAAGATATCTGCCGTTAGTTCATCATAAGCAAGTACCTTAGGTCTGGCCCTGCTGTAGGAACTGTCTTTCTTGGAGTCAGTTGGTCTTAATGTCTTTGTTCAAGAACAGCTTACTACCTTTATAAAACTAAGTTTCATGATTTCCCATGTATTATTTCATGTGTACTCTCCACTTACCAATTGTCATGTAAACAGGTCCAAGACCCATAATTATCATTCTAATATTATAAGTGAGAAAAATGAGGCTAGATCTTGAATTCATATTATACCTATATGCCCCTTTCCTGTGTTACAGTGTGTTTCATCAGGCAATGAACTATTCTTTCTTGTGGTGCATACAAATATTACTTACATGCTTTATACTGGATTTTGTGTTTGGGTCAAAGAAAACTTGGAGCTATAAGACACAAACCTTTAAGACCAACAGAGATTGTGATGAGGTGAATGGTTGGTAGAGCTGTGCTTCTGTGTCCTTCAGGCATAGCAAGACACAGCAACAGCTATTCAAACAGAATTAGGACAGTTTTAGGCTCTCATTTCATTTGCTGGGAATTGCTGGTTATAACTTTCAGTGGAAAGTAAGTCTAGGCATGGATTTTGGGCTCTGCTGTTCTTTTAATTTTTTGCAAAGCTTTGGAAATGTATCATGAATTCAACATGCAAGGACAATGCCATTTTTCTTCACCTAAGCGTAGGATTAATAGAACAGGGCTTCATGACATTGGTCCCACATGTGTTTGAATATTAACAGAAGGAGAGAAATCCTTGGAAAGATGAAGCTAGTCTGAAAGAATATTCGTGATGAATAAATAATTCATGCTGAAGAATGCTTTAAAACCTTGAAAGCATGTTGAACTGCCAAAGAATATACTATCTGAGCTGTTTTATCATGGCTAGGTTAACATATTTTTTTTTTCCTGTTAACTTGAGGAGGACTAATTGGGTCATATGGGTCTATTAAAACAAAACAAAAAACAAGGGACGCCTCAGTGGTTCAGTTGGTTAAGCATCCAACTCTTGATTTCAACTCAGGCTGTGATTTCAGGGGTGTGAGACTGAGCCCTATGTCGGGCTCTGTGCTGGGCATGGAACCTGCTTAAGATTCTCTCTCTTCCTCTCTTTCTGCCCCCCTTAAAAAAAACAAAACAAAATAAAACAAAACAAATCAAAAACCCAAACAAACAAACAAAAAAAGCAACTTGCCTTGGTCTCAATTTTTCCGGTCAGGAGATAATTTGATTTGAAAAGATTTCTTTTGTTGAGGGGTGTTCAGAATTATAAAAGAATTATTTTATTAATGTGAAATTAAGTAATTATAATGGGTATATGAGT